GCATCACCTTACATTATTTTTCGACTGGGCCAAAAAATGACACATTGAAATAAATCCTAATAAAAGCCGGACAAAAATATTTACACTTCGTAGACCAGACGTTCCCCCAAATCTCACTTACCAATCACAAAAACATTACCTGGCTCCCTCCCAACTAAACTATCAAATATCTTCAAAATTAGTTCGATAAAAGGCTTACATGGCGGCAAAATATAAAACACTGAACAGCGCTAGCGACTAGTAGAGTTCATCAATTATATCCGATTCTCAAAAAATCATCCCCCCTACAACTACATGTTGCTATTCACCTGTATAAAGCAATGATATGACCTATACTTTCCTATGCTTCCCTGTCTGGGCTGCCGCAGCTAAAACAAACAACAATTTTTTTTCTTCAATTTAGAAGCCTACGTACCATCACAAAAGCTTTGGTACATTCCGAATGCGCAGTTACATACTGAACTGAACCATTTCTCCCTCTTATCCGTAAAATTATATTCCAAAATATTAAAGATTCCTTTAGCTATTCACTTTCACATAGGTAGGCAAAATCATCATCGCAAACGATTAAAAAGAAAGTTACCCAGAAAATTGTTCGATCTCCCTATATATAAACCGATGAGTCTTCCCATTATAAACTACTGTACATAACCACTGTATTGTATTATATCTAAAACTAAATTTCTGTTTATAATGTCTCAAATGATTCTTCATATAAATCATATTAATGTATTTATCTTATGCGGCTGCAGGGGGCCAATTGTCTCTGCCAACTGCGTAGTGCTCATTTGCAATGGAACATACGACTGTTTGTTTTTAAATGCAAAACTGCATTAAAGACGTTTTTCCTTCGTTTAATAATAATAATAATAATAATAATAATAATAATAACAACAACTTGTTACTAGCTTATTGCGGCGCCTCCGGTGACGGGGACTTTCATAATTCCTCGTTTTATTTGGGTCATACAAATACATTTTTGAAAAGAGATTTTAAACACAAAAGTGCCTGGATTGTCTTTCCTTAGAAACAAAATATGAAAAATAATACCCCCCAAAACATGGTTTTTCTACAATATTCTCGAAGGATCGGGCTAGAAATAGAGCCAATCGATCTTGTCCCTCCAAACAGCATTTTAGGACCTTGAAAAGAATCCCACACACTTTTAATTAAGTAATATACGTAGTACACGTATAGAGAAAGTTATCTAATAATGCGGAAAATCGATTTCGAGATTTTAACGAAAATACACGTTTTGGGATGCCCTGATTCGAAAAAAAGGTGTTCGTTAAGTTTAACGTCCGTCCGTGAACAGCCCAAGTGCTAAACTATACGTAGGATTTTCTTTCAAAATGGATATTCCCTGGTCACGAAGAATTTTGAACCACTGAGTTGGAAATATTGCGAACTGACAGCGCGTCGAAACACGTGAAATTCTAATTGACAATCTCAAATATTTTCACAATTTTCGGAAATTCAGAGAGTGCGCCGAAAATTGGACTACTATTACTATCCTTACAGTTCTTTGCTACAGACGAGGAAAACATTTGACAGAAAACATGTCGAGCCTTTTCTGAGAAAACAATTCTTTTAACTTATTTGAAGATATATTTCTGAAGAACACATTCCATTAAGAAAAAAATCTTCATATTTGTAGTTGTAGGAACACGAAAAATAAAAATAATTTTAGCAATTTTCGATAAATCAGGGATTTCGACGAAAATGAGACGTGCACCATTCTCTTAAGCATCCCAGGCTAAATTTAATTTTCAAAATTGGTGCTTAGTTTTTCAAAATGTTCCATGGGCTTCATGTACTGCAATGTACAACGAAAACTACTGACGAATGATTTCATTTAACTTTCATGACGATTACTCAAGAGCCTCTGTTAATTGAAGCAAATCCTCGCATTCTATTTCATCGAATCGTTCATAGAAGTAGGCGTACCCATTGTGTTTCAGGATTCAACCCATTCACGTAAGGGTAAGACCCTCAGAGAACACCTCAGTGCGTCGAGAGGGGGGATGCATTTCGACATCCGGAGGCTCTTGCGGCAGGCGGAAATCGCCCGCCGCCCTCGCTCAAGCAAGCGTCGCCGCCTCTCGGAAAGCTGCCCGCCGCCTCCACCGCCATGGCAACGGAGTGCGGGAGGGGCGGGGCGGGGCGGCGGTGACGGTGACGGAGGAGGAAACGTGGCCCGGTGTCGCGACCACCCACCACCGCAACGCAGGCCTGACGGCGCTCCGCTGCCCGTGCGGTGCGGTGCGGCGTTCAGGTGGTCGCGAGGCGAGGTGAGGCCAGGCCAGGGCGCGCGCCCGCCGATAGGCGGCGCTGGTGGCGGCGGCAGCGCCGCACGCAGGAGCTGCCAAGGCCGGCCGCGCCGCCGCTCGGGCGACGCGGCAGCAACCGCCCGCCAGCCCCTCCGGTCTATTTGTCGGGGAATAGAAACGTCGCGCCGTGCGCATAATATCTTGGCCGCGAAGTTGGGCAGGAGGGAAGAGGGTCCTGAGGCCGCTTAGCACCTCGTCGCCACGTGCGTTTCCGACGCGGCAAACACACGCACGCACTATTAACTAACTAAACTACACGCACGCACTAAACTACACCCGCCTTTCCTATTTACTGCGATCTCCCGCAAAGAAAATGTAGTAAACCAACATTTTTTAAAAAAAACAATGCACCTTAGGATTTCCGGCTTGCAAGGTGTCAATCAAATAGTACTGTAAGAAAGAGATAAGATATTCATTACATTGCTCCAATTTTATTGAATGTATGCCGAAATTTATCTATTGCACAGAAATTTTGTAATTAGATAATAGGTAAAGACCAAATAAAGTTATGATTCATATTGGCAATAAACTATAATGCAATTTTCACATAATTAGACCAAATGCATAATCTAATATTCTTAGTAATAATATTGTATTATCAAAATGATCGGACAGTTCAATAAATGTCACACAAAAAAAAACTGTATATTAAAAGAAAAAAAATTCAAATGTCAAAACATACTTCACACTAAAGAGGTATATAAAAAGTTAGAAAAACAAACTTCTGTTTATTATTAATTTAATTAAATTAAAACAAAAATTGAACAATATATTCTGGGGTGTAATAGAAATTTCTAACGAATGTAATATTCCGAACATCAATATTATTTCTTTACTTTAATTTCAAAATCTCATCAAGATTTGATGGAACTTTCTTTATTGAATTAATAAACCTTTGTATTCATCAAAAAATTGAATTAATAACCTTAATAGTATGGCCTCGAAAGTAACAATACATTTTGTGGGGAATATTGAATGAAATAAGAAAGTCAACTTCATGGATTAATTTATTAGTTTCAACTAAAGCAAAAAAGAAGATAACACCCCCCTCCCACCGCAAAAAAAAAAAAAAGTTATTTTAAACAATAACATTTTCTCACATAAGTAAAAAATTAATACATTATTAAAATTAAGAAAAATACCAAACTACAAAGCTACGATACTTCTAAAATTATTGTCTGTCTTATACCCATTTCGTATACTCATAACGTTAACTCAAGTCATGTTTAAACCAAGCATGAATCGATCTCCATGAAAATTACATGGAATTTCACTCTAATGCTTTTTTTGGTGTTCATCCAATATTTAGTTCTAATGGTCAAAATTAATTAAACCACCATGTTCAATAAGACACCACACATTTAGTAATTTATTAACTTTTTTTTCTATGTAATGTATGGTATAGGTGATCCACACAATTCTACACTGGACCTCTTCTATACCAATCATAAAATCTAAAAAAGCAACCTTAACAATGTATTAGAACTTCACTAAATAACAAGCAACAGCAAAAATATTCGTCATTAAGAGAATGTCAATTGCTGTGTTAAACTGGTTGAAATATTTTGACATTAAATATTATTTTTTCTTAAGTGTTATTAAGATCTCATTTAAATAAAGAACCAGAAACGGAAGCAGTTCCACCTCTTTTTATACTAAAAGCCCAATAACAAATATAAAAAAAATTTAAAAAAATTATTAACATTTGAACTGCTTGGAATTTGGATGAGTATTATTTCCGACCGCAAGTTTGCAATTATTCTTGGCCAACCTAGGTTATTTACATAACATGTATTACATTACATAGCGTTTAAAGATGATACAAATATTTCACTTACCTAGTTACTTCAAATCGCTACCCACTTGGCAGGGTTGATGACACATCTTGAAACATGTGTCCATGCGCCTCCACAAGCACTTAAACAATGTTTTCAACGAAGACTTAAAGTTCAGTTCCTTTATATAAGTTAATTCCTTCCCGAAACACTTGTTAAAAGCATTCCGTTCTAGTCGAAGACACCGCAGCACACACTAACCACTTTACATTCAAATCTAGGTTGTATGTAACAACCCGCACTTTTCTAACACTGCTTTACTCAAATTGAGAATAATGGCACATCTTGAACACACAGACTGCTTTAAGAAATAAAGAGGTCCATTTCACGTATCATTGACACGGAGCAATAAATACACCGAGAAAAACAATGAAACTCCACTCGCTCAACAACCATCCCGTTTCGCCATTAAAATTCGAGCTATCACCGCCTGCTATGCATCCATTGGTAAACACTAGCAGCGATGCCTGTCGACGAACACGAAAACTTGTCAGGTCTCAGAATAACCGTTTTTCAAAAGCGGCTTCTATAAGTGTTAAACTGATCACCATTATACGGTACTTCAGAATTTTCATAAAGATTTAACATGTAACCTAACAGTATAACTTCAACCATTCATTTTTTTCTATAAGTATAACTTGGGTAAACTATTCAATAAAGATACGTGAAAACGCATATGAAAAATAATCAGACACAAAACGTCTAAGCATCATATATACCAATTATCTATTATGGTGTGCAATTCAAAGGTTCAATCAGTTGTGGTTCTTTTATGGAAGGGGTTCAATTTGTGTACACGTCTCAGAACATGAGCATACAATTTCATTTAAATTCTGTCCCTAAACATTTTCATAGTTTCACCCTACTTACCACAGAAAAATGGATATTTTTGCTACAATTTCTCTAAATATAGTAAATATCACAAAACTGTAGGTAAAATATTATTTATTTATAGTTATACTGCCATATTATTTTTCTCTACATGTAACAAATACATATTTCTCGTGCAAGTACTTCATGAATTCTTGCACATGAACAGCTACACCCCACATTCAAATCGCATGAAGCTACTGCCTGTTTGGAATGCAGTAATTTTCAACATTAGATCAAAAAATTTCTATGTTGAAAAGTTTTAAGATCCTCATATGCTTCTTCAGATAGTACAATGAAAGAAAAATGGAACAGAGATATTGAATATTACTTTGAAACATACTTTTCCATCACTTGAGTTTAACAAGCTCATAAATATGCTTTTCTTTGTACTATCAAAAAATGTTACATTGTATTGCCATTTCTATGTAAAATAAAAATAAATTTTTAAAAAAAAAAATTGAAAAAAAAAAGAGAAAAAAGAAAAAGAAAAAAAATGCAATGACAACTGATTATGCTATTATTTAGCAAGCTTCATCCTTCAAAACATTTCTTTTAACACATAATATAAACTCCATTGTACTCAATTTGGAGTGAGAGAGAGAAAAAAAATATCAAGTTGAAAAACATTTAAAGGGATCTCTTACTACAAAAACTATGATCTGTAACACATCCATCATGTTTCCAAATTAAAGTTGCATTTTCAAAAATTCATAATTTTCATTATTAAGAAAAGGCAGTATTTCCTTCTTTCCAGCAAAAGTATAATTAATAAAATCATTGCACACTTAAAAAAGTTGTCTCAAATACAGAGATAACAAGTACTAAATCTATTCGCTTACACTGCATTATAGGATTCAACATGTTTTTTCCAAGATATAGAATCAAAAGTTATATTTTACTTTTCACAAATAAAACAAATACAAAATTTAAAATATAATTTTCCTACAAAAAGAAGGGTTCTAAAGGCAAGCAACTTCCAAATGTAAACCCACCTTGACCCAGGCACAAACCAGTCCTACGCTTTTCATGCTTCATATAAAATATTTTCAAGTTGCTTATCTTTATGGTAGGATTCATTTCATTTACACTAAACCATTCCATTATTGATAACTTCAAGAGAAGTATCTCAAGTTCATAAGAATACAGGTAGGCACCATTTCTAAGAATTCAATATATGAATACTGCACCTATTATCTTTAAGAGACATAGCAAAGTAATTGGTGTATCTACTTCATGATGATAGCAAATAAGAATTTCAAAAACTGTACATAAAAGTTCTATAAAGTGACTGCACAACTTCGCAAGGTGAAGAAAAATTCACCCATTTGCTTGGAACTCAAGATTTCTTAACTCCAAAATTAATCTGGGGTCAAAGCATTTGAAGCAGCATCCACCTGCACACTTTAAAACATTTTATCATTCTAACAGAAGTCTTGGAAATTTGTCAAAAGATACATGTTAAGAGAATATAAAAATTTAACAAATGTAAAACTTCTTTAGCTGCCAATTTTCAAGGTTCTTGAATTTATCTAAATTGTGGGATCAATTGCCAACTACAAGAATTATTGCCATCACATTACATACAACACATTTTCATTTTGTATTTTCTCAGAAGTCTTTGGAAAGATATTTAAAATAATCTTCTAGGTTTGCCCTAAGTCATAATTATAAACAAAACTATTATGCAAATATTAACCTTTTGCAATCATATTGCAAAACAAAATCACCATTTTATATACATATTTCAGAGACACACAAAATATAATACCAATATTAATCCATGTTCATTTACTGAATATCTATACAAAGTACAATCATAGTCATACATTTTATATGGCAATCTAACCGAGCGTTAATAGAAACTTTATACAAACACAGTTAATTAGAAGATCATAGCACTAGTTTTCAACAACAGCACTAATTTTCAAAACAATTAACACACTCATTTAAAACATTCTGATAAATGGCATCAACATTAAAGTTATTCATAATACCAAAATGGGTAAAACCCATAAAAATGAATTTTTTGTCTCATTTAACAGTAAATGAGTGAATTTAATGCACGTGTCCTAATGCCAACAATTAACAGAAACCTACCATTACAGAAGATAAGCGACTTGTCTTTCATGACAAAACATTAATCATAAATGCAATCAATTTAATGTTTGCATGAAAAGGGTTCAGCACTGAATTAATAAACTTTTAACACTAGCAAAACACTTTATAATGTTTTTAATAAAATTGTTTTCAACCTTATTCACCTCCAAGCTGATATTTCCACTGTGGTAGTGCTCCAGAGGAATAGGGATGTTGGGTAAAGAAATGCATCCTCTCTCAGTATTGAGAAAAATATTCAATTTTTTTGACTGTTTCTTTGAGAACAGAAATGTGGTTATCACGTCACAAACAGAAACTCGTCTCTTAAAACAATATAAGATGCACATCGAGTAAATCATTTCTTTAGAGTTCCTCACTCTTTTTCTCTTCTTTAGTTGAAATAACATGATCCAAAATGTATGACTTTAAATTTACATTGATGATCCCTACTTAACCAGTAGAAAAGATTCATTTTAACACATACTTTACAAGTTAATGTATGACTTCTGTCTGTTAGGCAGTTGAACCAATTCAAGTCATCACAATTGAAAAAAAACTGGTGATTTTTGCCAATGATAAGAGTGCATCATAAAGAACATCTGAAACTGTATAAAATCATGTGGTTGCGAGCAGCTCCTAATGTACTCAGAAACGCGCCCGAATGTAGACCGCAGAGGCATCATGGGATCCATAACCAAGGCGCTTAGCATGCTTGAACAGCTCATTTGTGGAGGCTGTGAGTGGTAGAGGCTGCTCCAACTGGTCCCCCATGTATAGACTGAGTTTCAGATCCTTTTGCATATGTTGCAAAGGTAAATGTGTTGGAAATGCTCCATCAATTATTGCTGAAAATAAATAAATAAAGTAAGAGTACAACACGTGATGCATGTATATGCACAATACAATACAATACAATACAATACACAAGAAAATATTTGTTACAATAATTTAAAAAGACCATTTAATATCAAATTTACAATAGCCGGTTCTTTAAAAAACGTTGTTTGCAAATGTCCTAAAATGTTTCTTAATTATTTTTTTTTTCAATAATCAGGCAAAATGCAATATAAATCACAGTACAGGGCACTCAAGGACATGAAATCACGCAAAAATTAAGTAACCAGGCCATAAAAATTACATAATATAAAATTTTTAGTTAATTTGTACACATGTAGTAATATTTATATTGCAATGAAATTTGGAGAAAGAAAAAAAATTGTTCTAATCTTCAGTTAAAAAGTAATTAGTTTTGCAAATGTGAGTTTTGTAGCAAAATAATCTATACTAAGATTTAACTATTTATTGTGGAGCAATACATCAAGTCTGATTTGACAAAAGAGTACTATAAAATTGCAATCTACATTAATGGCTCAAATTTGTAGGTACACAGTTTATATAGAAAACAAGGAAGTTAATAATTCAAGTCTCTTGTAATAGGACATCACTAATAAATTTATAAAGAAATAAGAGATATTTAATATAATAAGAAATATTAATATAAATCTCACTTCTATAAGTACTAATATTTATAAAGAAATTGTTATTTTACATAGTAGCTGTCAAGAACAGTCCTCACCTTTGCCTTTATCCAAAATTGTAGGACATGCAAGTGATGTCAGTTCCAACACCTCTAAAACATCTTTTTGTTGCAAACCTGCACGATCTGCAAGGGCCATTCCCTCTGCAAGACCAGCTAATGTTACACCAGCCATCAACTGCAGAACTAAATTCATCTTAGAAGCATTACCCACCTCACCTGAAACACAAAGATTGAATAATAATTTGCAATCAATAGGCCAGTAGTTCTCAGTGGATACACCATGAATTTTGTAAGGTGGCCCATGAAAATAATTTAATGAGGTAACTATGTTCAAATTAAATTTTTAGACTCTTTAGGCAACACAATTCTATCACTAGATGATTATTTAAAACTATTCTACAAATAATTATAATATAATTTGTAATTTACTCAGAAATGTGAGCTAGTTTACTTTCGCACATTAGTTCAAAACGGAGAGCAAACAACCCTTTGAAATTCTACCTCGACAGAACAAAGTGAATTCTTAGAATGTGAGCAAAGGTTTACTTCCACAATACTGGTGTGCTGCAATGTTCCCATTGTGTGAGACATAAACCAAAAAGAGATTTTCCAATTCATAAACTATCAATATACAGGTGAGTCATTTCATGCAGTAAAATATCACCAAAGCATTCTTTACAATAATTAATTCCATCACAGTTTTAATGACCACACAAGCATAGATTCCCAAAGAAAGTGTTTTTGGTAATTTTTAAACTGTGTCAGAGCCTATATAACAGTATAACATAAGAGTGTATTTCCAAGCGCTGTTGTAGACTCAGGAGGTCATTTACAAATACCAAACTTCTATCCTGATTGCTAGCCATCAGGCCAAGGTTCTGACAATTTTATATCGGGTATGATCACAGGATCACGCTCAATACATAGATATCATTATATACACAGCCATTCCTTGGCTGACTTTGGGCACAACATTCTGGACATAATAGAATATGAGAAATCATAATACAAGAGAGAGGGGAATGAAGAGAGGGGAAGAGAGGGGGGAGAGAGGGAGGGGGGAGAGAGAGAGAGAGAGGGAGAGAGAGAGGGAGAGAGAGAGGGAGAGAGAGAGGGAGAGAGAGAGGGAGAGAAAGGGAGAGAGGGAGAGAGAGAGAGAGAGAGAGAGAGAGGGAGGGAGAGAGATAACTATGTTAATCATTACATTATGTACAACAAATTTATTTGCTTTGTTTCAATCGGTCCATGCTAAAAACTGGAATGGGTAATATTATTCCAATGAGATTTTAACTGAGAGGTAGCACAGTCTGTCAAGTGCAATGTAGGTTACTTATTTCCAAATTATTTTCTCTTACATACAGATTTTTTTAATACTCGAATCTACACTCTTTCCCGCCAAAAACTAGCAATACAGACATAAATAGAAACAACAGTAATTCATTCCTGAGTTTTTTGTTCTTCCCTATTAATTATTAATACATCACATAATGTAAGTTATTAATGAAAATATATTTAGGGCATCTCTTATTAATTATAGACTGTATTTTCTAAGCTTTATGTCATACATTTGCTTACAATTAATTTATTGGTAGGATTTTGATTCAACATCTTTTTAAAGCATTTATACTCTTTATATAAGAAATTACTGCATTACAATTTACTAGTAATTACACATCCAGAACAATACATCAGAGTATGAACACAACACAAGATGGTCCCATTATCCAGCTGATGTTTTCATATTTCAGAAGTATAGTAAAGAGCACAAAAGTTAATGTGGCCAAAACAAAACATCAACATACCCAAATAGAAGGAGTTCTTGCCCATTGCCTTGAAGCAGGACTGGCATTCATCGAAGAGTGAACGGTCGCCGGCTGCCAGGATGACAAGTGTACCTTCCTCCGCTTGCACCTTGCTACCTTGTACCTGTGCCTCCAGGTAACGTCCACCCTTGGCATTGATGGCCTGCACACCAACATAAGGACAAATTCACTAATGTATGGATAAACAATGGTTGAGAAAGGCACATGCTTTACATTTGAATTTGCAAAGAAAATCTTAAATTTAACAGTGCCAATCCATTACAGTTTAGAAATATGTATGATATGTTATATATTTATTTCAAGTACTTTTTTATTTAATATTTTAAAAGTACAGTAAGTGAAGTGGTTTAAATTCTCTGCCTAGCTCCATTAATAAAAATTGATCTACTTTTAGATTGTCCACAAATAAATATACAGCATGTTTACACATTGAAGTTGTAATTTTCCCTTCTAACCTCATTTATAACGCACTTATTTCTTCTGAAAGTGGTGTTCTTTACTATGTTTTACTTTAGCACTCCTTGAAATTCAAAAATCAAAATATTTCATAAATTAACACTAGCTTCAAGTTCTATCCCTAAGTATGCAGAAAAGGTTTTGAAAATTCAATGTTGAAAACAACTTCAAGCGAAAAGATTTCCCTAGAAATGTTAATTCCCCACCCCCTCAAAAAACATTAGGCCTTCCACAAATAAGCTATTCTTATACAAGTACCTATTAGGTATAACTACAAAATGTAATCAGGTACATCAAATACTTTGGAATAAAACGGTGTAATTCACATTACATCTTAATGTAAAATTCTGATATCATTTATTAAACAAGGAGTGCTTGAACAATTTTATTACTAAATCTATGGTAATAATTATTCTCAGGCGAATCTTCCTACTTTGTTAAAAAAAAGTGTCCCCGTAATTTCAAACAGGCCAAATAATTTTTAGACAAATCTTGTCTGTAGGAACTCATTGAAATCACTGAAAAATTCAATTTTAATTAACGGTATAGATTAAAATATTTGGTGTTCGAAATTATAAAATTTTAAATAAAACTGATTTTTAGATTAATAATAATAATAATAATAATAATAGTAATAATAATAATAATAGTAATAATAATAATAATGTTAGTTTCTGTAAATACTGCTTACCTCATTACGGACATAAACAAAAAATAACCAAATACATATGATCCTAAATTAAGTGGAGACTTTTTTGTACGTTTCCCTTCCAACTTAATTATGTGCTTTTCAAAATGCATTATCTCCAAAATTATAATTTTTGTAACAAAGAGGAATTAGTTAATGCTTGAGGTTAGATACCCATTTGTGATATTATATTTAATGCAAAATAATAAATTCCAGTAAATCATGGGGGAAAACAAGGCTTTTTCCATAAAAATGAATAAATGCCCACAACTATATCATGATTAGAAAAAGGAATTGCAACACAAATTCTTGATGTGAAGTAAAATAACTTGAAAAATAATGTAAATATAAAATTGTAATTGAATATTTAAAATTTAACTACAATAGCAGAACTTTGCATTATCTTTAAAAACAGATTTTTTTGGAAGTAGTAATTTCTGGAAAGAAAGGTTCACGAGATAGAGTGGCTTGCAGCAGTAAATGTCTCATTAACAAAATTGGAAAAAAATCCACTTAACTATATTTATCCAAATCAGAAAAGTAGGGGTATGGGTTCAAGAGACTTGCACAGTCTGTACTTCCCTATACATTACAGAGTTATCGTTATTATTGCAGTTATTATTATTATTATTATTATTATTATTATTATTATTATTTTATTACATAAATGAATTTAGTCTTCAAAACTTAACAGCAAATGAATTGGACAAAGTAATAAAAAATATCTATGATAAAGCTTTAGTCTCTAAAGAATCTAATAATAGTAAAAAAAAGTAATATTGAAACCCTGGATAAACTCTGAAATCAATGAATTGATAAAACAAATAGATAACTTCTTTAAAAGATGGAAAAGACTTCAGTCCAAATTAAAGAATTAAAAGACACTAAGATCAGAATGACATAACAAAAAAAATCCAGTCTAAAGAAAAAGTATTTTAACAAACTATTTGAAAATAGCAGAAACAACATTAAAAACACTTTGAAAACAATAAATTAACTACTGGGAGTACCAGAGAATTTTTTTTTAGATGAAGTCATAATAAAAAATTTAGGAAAAAGTAACACAATTGAAGAAAAAGTAGAAACATTTGCTACCACTTTTCAACTACAGACGGAAGATATTTTACTTAAGTGTAACCTAGCAATCCTGCCAAAAAATATAATAACACAAAGTAACTCTTTTTACTTGCCTGACATCACTTTAGAGGATACTAATACATTAATTAAAGGGAAGGTCAGTAATAAAGCTCCACGAATTGACAAAATAGCTATATAAGATATAAAACTGAACAGCAACTCAATAACACCAATTATAATGAAAATTATGAACTCATGCATTAATGAGGGACCTTTTCCAAACAAATTAAAGGTATCCATTATCACACCAATTCATAAAGGACACAATCTCTCAACCTATGAAAACTATAGGCCAACTTCCATTATAAATACAGTAAGTGAAATATTCGACAAATATGTATCACAAAAGCCCCATAGACGAAATCAAGTAGAAGTATTAAATGAAAAATTTCGTAAGGGATTGGAAGTGATAGCATTAAGCATTGACTTGTCAAACGCATAAAATGTGATAAGCCATGAAAAGATGTTAGATGCACTGGAAAGTATAGATGTTAGAGGCAATGTTCTACACTTATTGAAAAACTATTTAGAAGAAGGTGATAAGGTCAAAATAGATAACACCTTTATTGGAAAAAAAACTGAAAGGGGAATTCCACAAGGAAGTTTCCTAGGTCCTATTTAATCTAATATTTGTGAATAACTTGAAGACAGAATTGAAGTTACAGGAAAAATTTGGAATATTCCAAAAACAATGCCATGATAGGTCTAATAATAAAAGAGAAAAACACTAAAATATTGCATATCACAACACCTAAATTGGAAGAACACAACTTCAAATATTCTTTCATAAAGCTGATTGTGTACTCCTGAACCGACAATGTAAAAGTATAATTAAGTCTGTAAGTAAACTAAAACATTTGGGAAAAACCAAATTGGGTAAATCCAATAATATTTACTTCCCTTTGGAGCGATATTTTTAAACAGTCATCGTAAACCAGGTTCCATAGCATTGGGCCTAGTCGAGATCCTAGAAGGGCTCCACACATCATTTTTCTTCGATTCTCTAATTATCTCATTCACATATAATGATTCTCTCACTTAGGTAGTCACCTATACGATTCTTCAGATAGACTGGAATATTTAGTCTTTCTAATGCCTTTTACATCTTCTCATCCCAAGGAGTTGAATATGTTCCAAATGTCTATTGCAATATGGGCGCAAAAGCCTTACTTCCTGCTGCTAACTTCCCTGGCCGTTTTTGCCAGTTCGACTGCTTCCCTGATATCATAGATGGTCGATCTGCGTTTACAAAACCCGTAATGGATACGAGCCAAGCTGTTCTGCCCCATCATGTGCTGAAGAATCAAGCCTTCTAGCATTTTGCCCATGGTATTCAGAATGCAGATGGACCTATAGAATAATGCACCATCTTCCGGTTTATGTCTGTTTCTTAATAGTAAAAGCTTCAGACACTTCCAGTCTTTGGCAAAGCCTGAATATCTTATACACTCATTGAAGAGTTCCAATAGAAGATCCAGATACTCTGTGATAACTGCTTTCAGTGCCTCGTTCAGTATCCCGTCCAACCCTGGTGCATTGCCTGCTTTCAGGCATTTACCAACTTCTTATAGTTCACAGGTCGTGAACATGTCTGTCTCTACCGCTTTGTCATAGCTGTTCTTTTTTCTTTCTGGGCGTTTGAGATATAGATGTCTTATTATTTCTTCGAGCCATGTTTTATCATTTAGAGCAAAAATATTCCACCTCCCATTCAACTCGCTCATTTTTTACTATTTACACTATTTTGTAAAGCATGCCCCATAGATCATTTTATAACATCTAATATCAGCTTTCTCCAGCACATGTCCTTGCTTCTTATGATGCGGTTGAGTTCCTACCTCTTCCCCCTGTAATTCCTTTTCAGATGTTCATCTCTCTTCGCCCTCGTATATCATCTTCTGGCTAGTACACAATCGCTCCTCTGGAGGGCTATTTCCTGTCTCCACCAATATTTTGGTCCCCTACAACAACCACTGACTGCCTTTAGGGGTATCAATAGATTGCAGACCCTCTTGATAACCGTTCAAGCCCTGTCTGCCATATTGTCTGTTGTTTGGGGTTGAACACCCCACCGTAGCTCTTGAATCTGCCTAGATTCTGTCAGGGACCTTTTTACTTTTTCTTCATTGCGTTTGAGCATTCCATGTCCACTTAGGACAGTTTTCTCGCCTTATATATGACGAGTTTTTGGAGTACTGACTTCCTACAATGCTAAAGGAAATACAGTTATGGTCACTTAATGACTCTTCCTTTAGGACTTCCCATTCTTCAATACGATCTGCTAACCGCTGGTTTGCTAAAGACAGGTCAATTATTGACTTGGCGTCTCCCCTATTGAACATTGGTGTAACTCCTCTATCTATTACCATCATGTAGTTTCGGGCTATCTCTGAATAAGGGACATTTACCACCTCCAGCAGCATGACTGCCTTCAACTTCTTTGTCCTTGCAAACTCCGCAATACTATTTATCCTTGCATTCTTTCCTAGTTTCCTTGTTTACCACATTTGCAACAGCACTTTCTTCTACCAGGTTCCTTGTATCCTCTCTGGCCACATGGTCATACCCTTGCATTGAAAGCAACGATGAACATGTGTTCTTTCCACAGTTTACTAGCCCTATTCTTATTCTTCCTATCTTGAGAATCTCATTGGCCATCTTCTCTGAGTCCCTTATTAATGCTGTTTGCATTGTGTCATAACCTTTCAGCAGTGCACATTCAATATCAATTCTCGAATCATTCCTCTCCAGCACGTTTATGGCTTCCTCATTGGTCGTCACTCCGTTGATATCCTTTACCTCTAGCATTACATTTGCAAGACGTGTAGAGGTTGCAACTCAGAGTTCGCTCACTGTTTTAGCCATTTTTTGGCTAAAGGCATCTGTGCTCTTGTTTGCTTGTTTTTTCAACTTTCAATCAGAAGTTCTTCCATCCACATTTTTCTCACTCTTTCAACCTCTCCTCATCACCTTCCCTTTCATCTCTTCTGAGGTACTGAGTTTCTTCAGCATGTAAACATATGAAATCCCCTTGTCTTGCAGTAATCTTTAGCACCTCATTTCTTTTAAATACAGGTCTGGCCTCTTTTCTCTTCACCTTGTCTTTTTCTGGATTTCCCTGTTATTCCTCATCCTGAACCTCTTCTATTTCGAGCGAGGGCAAGGGCGAGGCGACGCAGAGGCAAGGCGAGGCGAGGGCGAGGAGGAGGCGAGGGCGAGGAGGGGGCGAGGGCGAGGAAGGGGCGAGGGAGAGGAGAGGGCGAGGGAGAGGAGAGGGCGAGGGAGAGGAGAGGGCGAGGGAGAGGAGAGGTAGATGATTGTGTACATGATTTTAGAAATCTGCAAGTGAGGTGGCAGTTGGAAACAGAAAATTAAAGAATTATTGGTTGGTTTACAAATTCAATTTGCAACCAAAAAACAATGTAAATACCAAAGTCAAGGAGAGAGTATTAATTCTTGCATAAATAGGTACTCATTCCTTCATGAGAACAGCAAGAAATTAAATAGTGCTCTTTCAATGTTTTAATAGTGAAGAAACATAAGCCTTAGTCTCCAAATGCAATGATATGTTGATCTCTACCTGGATGAGAGGGAGAATGCTGCATCTTGAAAATGTTAGTAGCAATACTCATAAAGAGTTCAAACTCATAAAGAGTTCAAACTCTCACTAAAGACATCACAAATAGTTCCATAAAGATTTTAGTACACTGCAATTCACAGGAATATGGAGACAGGCCAGAAAGGAAGAAACATTTACATATGAACAAAATAGTCGTAAAGAGATTAAAACTTGCTCACTTGTTGCGATAAAGAATTCTTACTTTAGGAAATTCATACTTAGGGGAGGGTAAATACTTTTTAATACCTTCATCAAAGCCCTTTGTTTTTGTGGTAAGAGACATGAAGAATTAAACCCACAAAAAGTAGGTTAATAAGGAGCAGGGCTTGTCAGGTATTGTATTTGTAGTTGAAAAGAATAATTCACCATTTCAGAAAACACTAAAATCCAGATATATAAAAGAATATGTATCCGAGTAATTCAATGGGAAGGACTGAAAAGATTGATCTAGTTAAAACATTTAAGATTAACCTACATAATTACTTGTAGGGACACATTACACTGACACCATATGCCTCTTTAACAACACACACTAAAGTATCTGGAAAAATGTCTTATCACAATGTAAATCCTACTGGAAAAATTTACAGCATAATTCTCAGCAAATATCCTCCTAAAATGCCACTCTTTTCCCCCTACAGAAGTTGGAGATGGAAAAATGAAAAATTTTCCAAGAATGAATCAAATTAATTGATTTTATTACAAATACGAGTTTTACGTTGTATTACATACAAAAAGAATTGGTTTGAAGAATTTCCTTCATTTCTTTTTCTATTGTATTTGCAAGATGAACCTTTTTTGGACCACATTATTGATCCATAATTTTACACTTATATGCATAATAAGTAATCAGGGAAAGGGATTGTTCAAGACCTGTATTTAAATCGATTTCTTAATTACATTTATCTATATTCTATTATTGTGTGTACAAAGGGGTATTAAAATCAATTTTGTAACCAGGGATTTCCAAATATTCTTTATATCTAAATAGAAATTTATTTTCAATGCAGATTTGGCATTGATGTTAATTTTTATATGAATTTTTCTTTACCAGGCTTCTTTGCAATTGAGATAATTTGGATAACATCCAAAACTTGTTGATTGGCTGTGTGATATTTATCTCTCTCAGCTTACCTCTGCAATATCTTGTGAGGTTTCTGCATCGATGCCAGTCATTTCAACATAGCCTTTTGCTGATGAGATCTCCACAAGTACTCCACAGTTACCAAAGACCATCTGGAACAAAACATCCATTCATGATACCAAAGACCGGAAAAATTTAATTTCTGTTGTCAAACAACAATACAAGGAATTAGTAGTGTGAATTTAAGGAATGTAGACCAAGAATGAGAATTTCACAATTCAATTATTCTGAATTTGAGGAGCTGGCAATGTGAGAATGGTAGAGATGGAAAATCTTGGTCAGATGGTTGGGAATGACGCAATATCTGTGCCGTCAAATGTGTCTTTTTTTCTTTCCCTCTTGAACTCTTCTTCCACTAGTGAAAAAGATCAACTCAAATGATATCACATAATGCAATTCTATCACAATAGAATAAACAAAGAATTTTCACTTCACAATTGTGGTGGTGGTGGGGGCGGGGGGTGGCAGCGGCGGCGGCGGCAGCGATGGTGGCTGCTGTTGTTACAAAATTGTTGGTGGGGGCGGCGTTGGAGGGCGTGGTGGATGCGGTGTTGGAGGGCGTTGTTGTTGCAACGCAGGCGGCAGCGGCAGCAAATTGTTTTGCCATGTGTAAGTTTCCTCCCACGCTGGCTGCACCATCTCAGTGACACCCGCGTTCCGTAACACGCCTGCCCCGAACCCTCCGGAAGGCCCCGGAGTTTGGCCTGCCGCCAGACTGCCGCCGTCCCCTCACCGACCTCCTGACATATGGGGTCTACCGGGCCCAATGGCACGTTGCAATGCATAATCACATTAGTAGCATCTTTGAATACAAAAAGTTATTATTTCGACAACATGTCAACATGGGCACGGAATGTACGCACGAAAATCTCTAACTGAACACATGACAGCAGATAATTGTTTAGCAATGCACTCTACTATGTCTGAATAATTATTATAAAGAATGAGAAGTATGAATGTCACAGGCGGGAAATTAAAATTCGTGGGAGATTTTAACTTAATAGAGTAGAAGTAATAATGGGTAATAACTTTTGGTCCACCTGGTATATAGATACCTTGGATGGAAGTGTTAATAACTAATGGGAAGGTTATCTATTACAATTATTTTGTGTGATACCGTGTTAAAACATCTCTTCCAAACAAGCAACTATATACTAAATGCAGGGACGAAAATCTGAATTAAACAATGTGACAAACACGTGCTACTGCAATGAATATACTAATAATAATACCAGGTGTCAGACGACTTACGTCTTTCGCCGCCTGTGGATCTGCCACACAGGAGAAGGTAATATCCGCTGCCTGAATGACATCAGAAGGTGTCATTCCCTGTTCAGCTCCCGCTTTCACGAAATCTCGACACTGAAACAAGACAAATTGAAAAGGATTAAAAATCTGGAAACTTAACAGACCGGAACAATCACCATGCACGAGATGCAGTTTCCAAAACTATGTGAACCTAAAACAAGAAGGTGCTAGTGATGCTTTCTTGCATTATTTGTAACAGATACTATAAAACTACCTGAACACACAGAAGTATTTTCAACCTGCAATTTTTTTGCCAATGCTGGAATTCGAATTCTCATTAAGTTTTGCGTTATGGCCACTGCATGTCCACTGCAGAAAATTGCTGAGGCCACATAACAACCTTCCCGACGATTTAATAAGTTAAAAAGTTGAAACTCACATCTATCTTTAGAGAACGCTAAAAATATTTTAAACTTTCGAAACTCCATAAAGTTCAACGAAAATCGGACCAACACCATTTTTATCGGCGTACTTTTTCGAATTTTTTTAATGTCTTTCTTTCACGCAAAATACAACTTCGAAGATCAGATTTTGAAGAAACAATTTCACTTAAGAAGTTTCAATATTGTAGTTTTAGAAAGTCACTGAAGAAATTTTGAACTTTGCAATTTTTGGAGGGAAAAAAAAAGGGGGGGGGCGAATCTAAATAAGTTCACGAAACTTAATTTTTGGTATAAGGGGCCCACGAAACTTGGATTACGACCAAACAATGTAATAGAGAAAATTATTTCATTTTGGAACTAGAATTATCCATTTTTTGGTATCAAAGATCCACAAAACAAGTAATGGTGAAAATCGCAGTTTTCGCCGCAGCATTACAATTGGTGGATTTCTAAGACGTGCTCTGAGCCGCGTGTTTGAAACCGTGGCTTTGAAGCCACGGCTTGAGCCGTGGCGCTAATCAGTTTGATAAAAAGAGGATTCAACGTCTGGTGAGGTCGCAGTCTCAATGGAAAATCCGTTGGGCAACATTGCCTTGGCGTGTGCGAACGACGTTCGTCGTGTTTTTGGCACACGCGGCAAAGTAATGGTCATACGTTTGATAGCGTAGGTAAGAATTGTATTTCCATTCTTATTTTGCACGATAATGTAATATATAACGAATTACACTTTTATAATAATTACAAAGCCATGCCAACATTTCGTTGACTATTAATACAGATGGCTCGGTTTGAAAAAGAAAAGAGGATCCAGACAAATTTGTCACCAAGGAAGAAGCGGTTGTTGTCAAATAATTAGTGAGAGGAGGGAAACTTGGACGAGAACATGCGAGGAATTCACCGCGTCGAATCCGATCAAACCTCCACGAGATTGTGGACAACTACAAGGTAATTTTTGTGGCCAAATGGCGTGCTTTGTAGTTGCTCCAGTTTTCTTAAAAAAAGAATTGCATACCGACATATATCAGAATTAGATGAAAACGTGACCCTATGAATAAACATTTTAAATGTAAATATTGTATATTAATTAAAACCATGTCCCTACTTACAGTTTTGTTATTTTGTGACAGTAACAAATTTATCTTTTGTATGTGATGTAATTGGATTAGAGTAATAGGAATTCATTGGTCTGATGAACAAGATTGAAAAAGTTATTAAAAATACTTTAAACAGAACCAGATAACATCTTGGAAACGTTTGAATAATTGTTAAAATTAGTGCGATTTATAACATCTACTACAAACTATTTTTTTCTTAGATGGCTATGAACTTTAACTAACGAGTTGAAACAACAAGGTAATGGATACAGTTCCTATTGTGAGGGGTTTCTCTGTTGTATGACAAATCTTAGAGATATTACTGTATTACAAAATAATAGTAGTACATGTTAAAATTGAATGTTCTTCAAACACTAGTCCAGTAAGAGTTGCTAATTTAAATATAATGAACAAAATAATTTATGTTAAGTTAATATCTGCAATTAGCATTTGGTTATTGCTAATAAATAATTGCAATTTTCATGTTTGTAGTGTTCAATATGAAATACTATAAAATCATTAAAAATGCAAGAAACGTAATGTGAGGAACCATTAGACCCCCTCCCTTGTTCAATAATTAATACAGCAGATTAATCATACTATTTATTCAATATTCGGTTCGGTAGCAGGGTAGTGTGTTAGCATATCATAATTATTATTTTCAGGGTTGTATTATTAAAAATTAAATGCCGATCATGTCATCTAATTGAACAGAAACGTGTATTTGCGAACGCTATGAGAGTAGGAAGCAAGTAGATTTTTCATTCCTTAAACAATTATTTCAATGTTAGATTCAATGTTGCGGTAAGGCGCCCACCGAGGCGAAATACAGGACGTTTCGCGTATAGGTAACAACTTATAATAATAATTCGACGAACCGGGAATAAATTGACAGAATCCCAGTTAACATTTTTAGTTAGTAATTAATATTGAGTAATGCTGTGGTCAGCTTTTTGTACCTGGCGCGTGCGCAAGGATACGCCGCGCACCGACGAGCTCGATGTCGCGCTACAAGCACGCACTCTTCATAGTGGGGGTGGGGCATTGTTGACTCCGAAGCTGTCATTGTAACGTTCATGTATAAGCAATTATTTTTGGTTAAGTTGAAGTACCTCCATGATTTACCGAAAACTGCAGGGAATATCGCATTAAGCAGGGGGAAAGAATATACAGTAACGCTACAACCGAAGAGAGACGACTTAGAGGACGTTGGGCATTCTTTGTCCGGCATTCAGCCCAGAAGTTTTCCAATGCTCCCGAAGACATGAAGCAAAGAACATTTAAATTGATTTGTACACTAAGGATAATAATAGAAATAATAAGTAACGTAATGCGCTCATTAAGAATTTTTAATATTTGAATTCTATGTAATTCTATATAATTATTACTTCAAATAGAGCTGATAATTTGTAGTTAATCGTCATCAAAGATGACAATTAAACAGAACTTCGAAAAATCGCCGATCTATACCAATAGCCCGTCTGCATGCCACAAGTAAGATAGTATGTAAAATGTTAAAGCGCTACTGTAAAATCGAAATTTGAAGCTCTTTGACAGAAAATTTTTGACTCTTCAAAAACCTCACTGAAAGTAATTTGAAGCATGCAGCGACGTTTGAGCGTTCTTGAAAATATTGAAATTTGAGTTAGTTTTCGCCGAAAACAGTTGCGTATTCGAGAAACTTTATGAGATTATTTAAAGCACATGTACTCAAATATGTGGACAAATCGTCGTTAGTATAAATATTAACGACGCGAGCGAAAGCCCAAAATTTACATTTTTGTAATTTTAGAAAAAACCAAAGACTAGAGCAATATGGCGTTTATGTCATCATATAGAGCGCATTTAGCACTATCACTACCAAAAGTTTGAAGAAAAAATTTGAAGATGTTTTTGAGAAAATTTTGTCTTAGTATGTTTTTTTTAAATTGTACAAATTGCTCGCGATAATCCGCGAAAACTACCAAAATCTTCAAAAAATGTGGATGACCTTAATGAAAGAAATCACTACGGAGATGGAGATTTTTCCTTCATACCCACATTTATCATCAATTCTGTAGTTTTAAAATGATGCTTGAAAATTTTCAAAATATTCCGAAAATTCAAAGTTAATCTTGAAAATTAGACGTATGCCACATGTATCAGAGTATTTTACTTGAGTCTTATAGAAATTTAAAGAAAAAAATTGGAGCTGTTTTTGAGAAAATTTTGAAAATGTTAATAGATCTTCATTTGAACAACACCCAAAATTAATGATTACGTTTCAAAATCACTGAGCCTCGACTCAACTAAATAAACTCCTGCCGATTTGGCCTAATGGTACGCCTAGTTTAGGCGCAAATGTTGTTCACTAACACCACATAGAGAGGACGGACGTTTTAGCGTCAATTTATTTTTCGGTATCAAGGACAAAATTGTCTTCGCATGTATACGGGAAAGTAAAAATAAGTGCAATAATTTGCAAGTCGCTTTTTATCGAAGTTAAGGTGCTTCGCAGTAATTATTAAAGAAACAAAAAGAGGACAACGAAGTACGCTGTTGAAAAAACTGTACAAAGAAGATACCTACCAAAAAATACAGGTAACACTAGGTAAAGTAGTACGCACGAATGTAAAATGGGAGCCATTTAAGCAATACTCCTACAGGAAACATGTAATGTTAATTCCTACTGATTCTTTCCCTGAATTCGGAAATACAGCTTAATTGTTAATTTCTCTCTATAGAGGAGTGATAAAGTTATGTAATATTGAGAGAAAAATGCGAGTTTTCGGCCAAAAATTCGCATTATAGAGCCCTGGCAACGAAGAAGTGGATAAATTCACTTGCTCAATTTAGGGGAGGGAATTTTCTCACACGTGGTGTAGCCAGAATCCATGGTTTCTTACCAATCCTTGGTATCGATAAATCGAATGACGGCAAGATGTCCGTCCGTCATGAACAATGCTAGCGGGTAATTCATTCAGCCGATTTTCTCCAAAATTTATATTCTTTCATCACTGACTTGTCGCAGCTCCTTAAATTTCAAGCCGATATATTAATTTTGGGGAGTACCTTACATGAAGCCCTTGGGACATTTTCTGAATTTAAAAAAACAACAAAAACCATCGTTTTTGATTTTGTTGTTGGTTAGTGAAAGGAAGTTTAAGAGACCGGTGCAGGTTTCATTTTTGTTGAAAACCTTGCTTTTTTTCGAAAATTGCAACAGTTGTTTTGGAGTCTTCCTACAACTAAAATATTAAAGATGGAGATTTTTCCCTTAATAATATCTGCTCCTTAAAGATTTATTTGAAATAAATTAGAAAAGAATTTTACATAACCTTGAGTACTTTTCGAGTAATTTTGCGTGAAAGCACGTGCTGCTTAAGACTAGTTTACTTTCTCGCCATACTACGTACATGCATTGTAAAGAGAAATTTTAACGCTGCAGCGCAGGGGCGATTTTTCTATAGAACAGCGTGTTGTGCTAATTTCCAAAACGTGGATAAACCGTTTTCCTATATGAACCTATATAGGAAACAATGTAGATAATCGCGTTTAGTTCATATCACTAGCTGAAGCATAATACATGTGTTATTGTTTACTGTGGGATATCTGGCCTTTACCAGGCGACAGTCTCAGATATTTTGTAACAATTCCCACCAATGTATGGGCACCAATTTGTAAACAACTATTTTTTATCTCCTTTAAGATATCGTAACATAGCAAAATTCTGTTATTCTAGACTCACGTTATTCTAGTACACATCGGGTAAACGAGCGAAGAATGATGATTTATTGATTAATAACGGCTGGAGGGTGTTAAATAAGACAATCTACTTTGGAACCTATCCAGGAAAAATGATTACGCTACGCTACTGGTCTGTTGTACAAAACAATCTATTTAAAGGTCATGTATTTTTTTCGGTAAAAGTTAGTTTTTGCGTAATTTGTTTCAAATTAATAAAGAATATATTGGCGTCCCGTCGTATACAACGATAACATTGTAGTATTACGAGAAAGTGTGTGCTGTTGTGAAGGGAGCTGCTAGTCTACCCTCGGATTTATCAAAGGAACACACGAAATTTCTGGACCCTTGCAAGGGAATTTTCGAAAATTTCAAAAGTATAATTCTGATGATACGCATAGGCATAATTTTCCTTCACAAAATCTGTTCTAAGATAAATGTATCTCTTAAAAGGTCATGTACAACCCGTTAAAGGAAAAAAGTAATTTTCGATATTTTTTTGCTTTAAAGCAATTTATATTTTTCCTTCAAAAACTGTTTCAGAAAAACTTGTAAGTATTTGTAGCATCACTAATGGTTTTAAATCATTTTATTAAAAAATACACTATATTTTGTGTAATGGCGGCACAATGCGCAACGCCTATTTCTGGGTCAGGATTGGTTTGAAAATGATACTGTGGCGTCAAAATTATGAACCATCGTGTGCAGTTTCCCGATTCTCTCATAGATGGCAGTGGTGTCGCTCGCGTACTGCCGCCATGAGTTCTGGCCATCGATCGAGTTTACTGACGCCACGTCCGCAAGCCGCCATGCGGGCAGGCGGCGGCGGCGGTGATGAAACGTTGGCTTGTCTTCGGTCATGTGACCGAAGCCCCACCCCGAAAATGGGGTTTGATAGGCAGCAAGACGTTGTAGAGCGTGAAGTGGGCGTAGAAGAGACTATCCATAACGTTCATCTTTTACCTCATAAGTACATATAATCAGATTTTGGCATGTACACGATTTATGTTTAAAGATTTCCTAATACATTTAATGCAATTCATTTGAATGGAACTATTACCACAATATGGATCTGCCGTTTATGAAACGTTGCAACCAAACCAAGATATTTGCAGGTAGAACATGAAAGAATTATACAATGTACTAAGTTTGTCTCTCACGAATACAAATTATACTAGAGATCTAACTAAAGGGTTTGGCAAAAGCCCATTTTGTTGTTACTATTTTATGACTTTTAACAATAGGAATCATTTAAGTATTCTTCAGGAGTTGTTTTAGTACATTTCATTTTGCCTTTTCTTGCCCATTTTATCTTCCGATTCCTTGTTATGTCATTTAGTATTCTTCCTTTTGATTTCACCTTTTCCCCTTCTGGCACCGAATGCGATCAAGAAGGATGTATGTATATATACTTGCAAGCCTGGACAACACGAAGACACGATGGTGTATGGGCTTTCTTTGGAAGCAGAAGTCGTGATAGAAATATAAAGGGAAAAAAAGTTCATACAAGTAGATATTTTGTTCCCACGCGAGGAATCCCGCTCTACTCGACTACGGCTAACCGTTCCTCTCGAGAACTTTCCCCTGCTTATATGATATACCCTCCTCAGTACCGACTTACACGAGTGCAAGGAACGAAAAAAATAATTTCGTTTTCATTAATGGCATATCAATATCTAAAAGGGAGTTCACAATAACATTACTAACAGATAACGTCACGAGTAAAAGAAATTGGTAGGTATCATATCGCGTGATCATGATGAATGAATATGAAAAAGATAGTTTTATTACTCGTCAAGTGCTATTGTATATTTTAGAGTTTGAGCAAAAATTTGCATGAACACTTAGCGTAGGGGTGCATAGGGGCTTTTGACAAAGATTCCTTTTCAATATGATTTTTCATCGTCTTCATGCCTTTTTGGACCCCTACTTTAACTAGCCTTTTTGCAAGCCTATTTCAGGCAAAATAATTGCCTCAACTTCCGGGCTCTAGTTATAAACAAACGTACAAAATTTGTAATGTATTCCATTTTCGAAAAATTAAGAGTTCTACATGAAAATGCACCTGGGCCGGTTCTTATAGACGAACTTCGCACTATCTGAGACAATAATTTGATGAAAAACATTAGAAGGTGCTATTTAGAAAATTCTACTTCAATGTTCACATAATTTTGAGTGCAAAAAGGCACACTACGTGTTTTTTTTAAATATAAGACCTAATTAAACAACAATTTTATTTTAAAAATATATTTAATATTGTGGTACCCCGTTAAAAAATTTTACACTTTCAAAATTCCATAGAATTCCAAATTAGGCCATGTGCAATATTTATAAGCGTACACTGCTCTATCCAAGAGAAAAAAAAATTAAAAAATGGACCCTTTAGAAAATTTTGAAAATGATTACGCTTAATGTAAACATCCCAAAAATTTAAAATCAGTTTCAATGTCAAGGGGCGACCATCAACCAGATCGATCGGTAAGCATCAATGATCTTGATAAAAATCCTGCGAAGTTAGGTGCCAGTGTTATTCACAGACGGACAGAGTGAAACATCTCAGCACATCATAGTACACAACATCAATAAGTTGCATATGTTATTCACCTGATGGTATCCCCACCGGTAAGAAGAGAGAACGTGAAAATAAATTCAGTTTTACGTAAACCTCGCTCCTAAACTTCTTCTTTCACGGTAAATGTTTATCGCTTAAGAAATAATGGGAAAAAGTATTGATAGGGGATGGACTATACTAGTGCATGTATGGGTATATCAGTAGGTATTGTTCATAAAATTCCAAAATTTGAATACAAAATGAGCTTAAATTACATTCGTATAATGTAAAATGTTGCCTTACAACGGAATGGTCCACACACCAGACAGAATGTTAGAGTGTAGCTAATCCATAATTCAAAATCCTCGAGCAAGTCATTAAACAAAAACTTCGACACCCGGTGCAACTGAAAGGACAGGCATACCTCCGTATTTTTTAAGCCACCTACAGACAATGCGTTCCACGAGAAAGAATTTCTGAACTGTAAGCTTGCCGAAAGAAAAGAAAAGAAAAAACAAACTAACAAAACTCATGAATTGAATGACATTATTTTGCGCTAAAAGTAGTAATACGTAAAAATTAAATACGCCGAGATTCAACGTGTTAGCCAAAAATCTGCCCTTGCTGGAGAATTTGCACCAAGGATACATTATTGGGATTAACTTCTTTATAGATAAAAGTACTAAAAATGGTAGCTATGGGGATAGGGTAATAAAACGAAAGTTTTACTTAAATACAGATTTTTTAACGTCATTACGAGCGTGCCTAATTAAACCATCTTTTTCGCCATAGGCCCACAACCAGACCCTACGATAAAAATATATGTATCCAAGACTCCTATCAGTCGCATGCCGAGGAGGGGGAGGTAAGCCCGATAGCCAACGAAAGAAATAGGTTGGGCAAGTGTGCTCACGCGCGCACTATACAGAGCACTTTTACATGAGCTGCGCTCCCTGTTGCGACACGCTTCGCGGGGGCAGACGCCCGTGGTGGCGTAGCTTATTACGTAAAGGCGGCAGTCACGGGAAAGAAATTCACCCATCCGGCCCCTCTATAAAGCAGGATTCCTCAACGAGCAATTGGGACTTGTGACGTCTTCCAATTATTTCTCGTTTTGAAACTTTATTTTTGCCCCCCTTCGAATATTTCGAAATATATACAGGTAGGTTTACTCATAATTGAATACTATTAGTTTTCAGTCTTAGCACCTCTAGTGATATTCGTGGGAAATGTTCAAATACGCTAGGATCCAGAAAACTGTTTGAAATCCATTTCTACTGCCAACGAACCCCAACAACTCCATTCGTAGCGAAGTACCTTTTAACGGTCGG